TGCAGTGGCATGATCACTGCTCACTGCAGCTACAATCTCCCAAGCTCAAGTGATCTTCCCACCTCTCCCAAATAGCTGGACCACAGGCGCATGCCACCTGGCTAGTTTTTTTTTTTTTTTTTTTTTAGACACTGGGTCTCACTTAGTTGCCCAAGCTTGAATTCCTAGGCTCAAGCATCAGCCTTCTAGATTGCTGGGATTACAGGAGTGAGCCACCTCGTCTGGCCTAGGTCATAGTTACTTTAAATTCCCAGTCTGTTATTCTAATATTTCTTCCATATGTACTTCTGATGCTTGTTCTACCTTTTTAAATTGTGGGTTTTGGTGGTTTTTCATTTTTTTGGCTTTCAGTATGCCTGTTAACTTTTTCTTGATAGTCAGACATGATGTACCAGGTAAAAAGAACTGCTGTAAGTAGGTTTTTTGTTTTGTTTTGTTTTTTAATGGCATGATCTCGGCTCAATGATTCTCCAGCCTCAGCCTCCTGAGTAGCTGGGATTACAGGTGCCTGCCACCACACCCAGCTAATTTTTGTATTTTTAGTAGAGACGGGGTTTTACCATGTTAGCCAGGCTGGTCTCAAACTCCTGACCTCGTGATCCACCCACCTCAGCCTCCCAAAGTGCTAGGATTACAGGCGTGAGCCATTGCACCTGGCCAGAAAATAGACCTTTAATGATGTAGGAAGGAGTTGGGGAGGGGAAGTGCTCTATGGTCCTATGAGTAGATCTCAGTCTTTGAGTGAGCCTGTGCCCTGGACTGTGAACTTCACAAGTATTTCTCAGGTTTTTTCTCCTCCTTCAGTGGAACAGGATGGCTAAAGTGGGCTGGAGTTGAGGACTCCATTCCTCCTTCCACTGGAAGGGTAGACCTGACTGGAACTGGATATTTTTCTTCTCCCAGGTCAGTTACGTTCGAATAAAACCTCAGAAGGTTCAGCTCTGGTTAAATAGTTTCTCCCGAGGGCAGACCTTGCTGAGAACAGAATACCCTGGCATATTTCAAAGTGATTCCTTTTCCCCTCCCTCTAACGGAAGCACAGGGATTTTTCTCAGATATTCACTGAGAACCTGGTTAAGCTCCTAGAGGTAAAAAATCATAAGTGGGGGGCCCCCAGTGATTGGGTCCTTCTGACGTTTTTATTCGCAGACTTGTCCACTCTGAACCTCCAGCAATTTGTCAGTTACAGTTCTGGGTTCCCTATCTTGGCACTGGTTCCCATAAAGGTTTCTGCTCATGGGTTGCTGCTCTAGCAAGCTAATTCTGAGCATTTGCATTTTGATCCCTGCAATCTTAGGGATAGTAATTTGCCCTGTGATCCTACCTCTCTGACATATCTAAGAGGAGTTGTTGATTTTTTATTTCAGCTTTTTAATTATTGTTAGGATAGAGTGGCAACTTCTAGCTTCTTACATATCAGACCAGAAACTGGAAGTCAAGATAATTTTTTTTTTTTGAGATGGAATTTAGCTCTGTTGCTCAGATTGGAGTGAGTGGCACAATCTCGGCTCATTGTAGCCTCCGCTTCCTGGGTTCAAATGATTCTTCCACCTCAGCCTCGTGAGTAGCTGGGATTATAGCCAGTAAGCCTTGCTGATTTTTTTGTGTGTTTTTAGTAGACACAGGGTTTCACCATGTTGACCAGGCTGTTCTTGAACTCCTGACCTCCTCAAATGATCCGACTACATTGGCCTCCCAAAGTGCTGGGATTACAGGTGTGAGCCATCGCACCTAGCCAAGATAACTTTTTTATTTTGAGATAAATACAGATTCACATGAAATTGTTAAGAAATAATAGTGAAATCCCATGTACCCATGTACCCATTTTCCATCAATGGAAATGGATATTGCAAAACCATTGTACAATATCACAGCCAGGATATTGACATTGATACAGTTAAGATACAGAACAATTCTTTCACTAAATAATTTTTCATGTTGCTTCCTCACAGCTTCCAACCTGGCAACCACTAATGTGTTCTTCATTCCTAGAATTTTGTCATTTCGAGAATGTTATATAAATGGAATCATATGTATGTGACCTTTCGGGACTGCCTTTTTTCATTCAGCATAAGTCTCTGGAGATTCATCCAAGTTGTTGTGTGTATGAATAGTTTGCTTTTATTGCTGAATAGTATTCCACAGCATGGCTGTATCACAATTTGTTTAACCATTCACCTGTTGAAGGACATCTGGGTTGATTCCAGTTTTTGGCTAATATGAATAAGGGTGTTATGAACATTCATGTACAGGCTTTTGTGTGAGCATAAGTGTTCACTTACCTGGAATGAATGCCCAGGAGTGTAAGTATTGTCATTTGGTAGTTGCATATTTATTTTTTTAAGAGACTGCCAAACTGTTTTTCACAGTAGTACCATTTTATCTTATCACTAGCAATGTATGATCCAGTTTCTCTGCATCCTCATCAGCAACTGGTATTGTCGATAATTTTTATTTTATGATTCTATAGATCAATTTTTGGAAGACTGACATCTTAATTTTGTTGAGTTTTCTCATTCATTAATATAGTATGTCTCTCTATCTAAATATTCTTTGATTTCATCAGCATTTTATAGTTTTCATTATGCAAGTCTTGTGTACATGTTTTATTGGATTTACATCTAAGTATGTCATTTTTTGGAGGGATAAATGAAATAGCATTTTAAATTTTGGTGTCCACATGTTTATCACTATTATACATAAATACAATTGGTATGTTTATTTTGTATCCTGCAACCTTGCTGATTTCATTAGTTCTAGGAGGTTTTAAAAATAGATTCCTTGGGCTGGGTGTGGTGGCTCACGCCTGTAATCCCAGCACTTTGGGAGGCTGAGGTGGGCGGATCACGAGTTCAGGAGATTGAGAGCATCCTGGCTAACACGGTGAAACCCCATCTCCACTAAAAGTACAAAAAATTAGCTGGGCATGGTGGTAGGTGCCTGTAATCCCAGCTACTCGGGAGGCAGAGGCTGGAGAATCACTTGAA